GTTCAACCTTGAGCTACAGATATTCTCTTCTGTTGACTCCATATTCTTTCTAGTCTTAAATTAAATCTGTTTGCTCAAGCATTCTGAAGATAATTTGGAAGTGGAATTCAATGTACAGTCTGTGTTTAACTTACAGTTAGACTATTTTTCCTTTTTTTTTTTTTTTGGTTTTATAGTTTTATGCTGTCTGATTTTTATGGTTATATTGTTTTTATAATTTTATGTATACTACTATGAGATAGAATGTTATAAAAATAGAACAAATGATCAAAGAGCATATGAAATGTTCATGCTTATTAACATTGTGTAGAGGTTGTGTATGGATTGATTGATTGATTGATTGATTGCATGGCTGTTTAACGATGTTTTCAATTATTCATTGCAGATGCAGGAAAGACAGAAGCAGTTCTCAGTGAAGACTGAATAGCGATTGACTCGATACAATTTTTGTGTAGTGATGATTTTTGGACTATTTGCAAGCAATAAGATCCAAAGATTACATGGTCTGTTTCCGATGATTATTGGATACTCTTCAATACACTATTTTTGGCACTGTCTAATATTTACATATTACAGTGATGGTACATGGCAGCTTCCAATCTTTTGTATTTGGCATAAGCCTCCCTCTTTTCTTCTTGCCTTTTAATTGAAGAATACCACGAGAATGAAGAATATCACCAAATCTCGTATGATATCAAGATGAAGTTGGCAATACTAGTAATAAAAATACTAAACATTTGAAATAGTTGGAGAAACCTGAGTCTTATTTGCACTTTAGTTACATTTTCTGGTTCAGTGGGAAGGAACTTGACGAAGGATCCTCTATGGCAGACTGCAGATGAGCAACACGAGCAAGCCGAGATGCAAGCCAGAACTGCATATTTGTCAGGAGCCAAATTCATTATGTCAGTGCAGAGCTTTTATTGGGGTGCCTCACCATTTTGTTTACAGACTATTGGTTTCATTGGCCTGTACCATTAATTGCTAAATTGAAGCCTCCCACTTGCCATAAAATTGCCTGGATTTTATCCACATTGTTAAAGCAGTTCTATCACTTTGCCTTTTAAAGACCCCAAACAGAGGTGGTAGCAATTGTGCAGCTACACATGGAGTTCTTAAAAAATACTTCTTTTGTGGGATAGCTCTGGGAATGATTGTCGTCATCTTTTAAAACTTCGTTTTGCAAAGCAGCCAGCCAGCCTCACCAGCTCCTGCCCATTGCAAACTTTTGGGAAATACTGATGGCAGGCTAAGAGCAAGTATGCCAAGAAATCATCTAATCAAACTTCATTTTCATTTTAATATTTTTTAACTGATCTTCCACTAGTCACACTTTGTATGTGACAAAAATTGAACTCCAGCAGTTAAGCGTATTCTTGTTAAGACTGGCTTGATGGATAACTAGCCGACGAAGAGGCACGGAAAGCCGTGTTCAGCTGGTTCATATCTGTTATAAATAGTACAGTTCTACTTGAGAAGCATTTGCAGTGGCCACTGAAAATGGCATGTAAACATGCATTAAGTTGTAGTGTAGATTCTGGGTCTGTTATAAATGGGGCTAGGATTGTTCAGCTGAATCTCAGACCTAATCACTGTTGTTTTGGAACCCATAAGAAAGTGTGCTTAGAACTGCAGATTTACAATTCAGCCTTAAGGTTTGATATGCCAGCAAAATAAATAAATTAATGTGTTATATGGGATGTGCCAATTGCTGTACCTATGCAATATCATATAGTATGAACCTTGGGGGTGGGGAGGCAGATGCACTATGAAAATGTTTAAGATAAGATTCGTAGATCTAGGTTGTCAGCACCATGTCAGGATAGATGTTGCTATCATGACGTATTGAAATTATAGATACAAAATTTGGTCCCAGGTGTCACTTTACTACAGGTAAATATATCATTCCTGCATTGAAGCCATGAGTTGTACAGAGACAGATTATGAAGCACACACTTCCTTTTTCTAATTTCACTTTTAAAAAAACACAAAACCCTGTAATGAATACACTTTTCAATTCTTAGCGGTAGATACTGGACTCTGAGCACTTAGACCAAAAAAAAAAGAAGAAGAAAAGAATACTGTTTTCATCAAAATACGCAATGTAAAAATCCTTTGAGGATAGTTGCTCATTTCACTATGGTCTCTAGCAGTGTTTTGAATATTGTGACAGAGACTGTGTTTGTTCTTCCAAGTGCCCATACTTTCCTCCAGGTTCGATTTTGATTCTTCTTTTTCATTCCGATTAAATTTTTCAGTTTAATTTTGCCTATTACTCTTTATACAGCTAAAAAAGGATGGCTGATATATCTCCTTGTTATTTCAGGAGACATACAAGTCACTTCCCTAAAACTTGAGCCAGAGAACAAGACTAATATTTAGGAATTATGCAGACTTAGCCCAAATCCAGTTGAGAATATTTCAGTTTTTTTCAGCAACACAGTATGTATAAAGCAATATATTTCCAAACAAAATGGCAATTATTTATTTCAGGAAACAAGGGTCTCCTACTACCTGCATTTGATGTCTGAATTTTAAGATGTTCCCAGATGATTCCCTTTCTTCTTAAATATTCCCATGAATGTTCCTCTTTGATCACATAGTTTTATACATTGAGACATTGTGCTATGTTGTTTTTGTATGAAATTGTTTATTTCAGGAAGAAATGTCAGCTCAAATTTGTCTTGTGTAAAATAGACTTAAAAACTAATTGATTTCATTTGTGCTAGTGAGTTTTTCTCCTATCTCTTGTGAGCAATGCTTAAAGAGCTCATCATGGAAAGAAAATGCAGCTATATATATTCGCATCAGGAGAATTTTATAGGCATCAGTGAGACTTTATGAATCAAGAGAAGATGATAGTATTTATTTTAAAAAACAAGGAAGGCATCTAGTAACATCTTAAAGACTGGTATGGATTACAGCTTAAGCTCTCATAGACTACAGTTGACTTCATTAGATTTTTATTTGTTTTTGGCTGCAGCAGACTAATAGTCCCACGCCTCTAGAAATTACTTGAAAGAGAAGATTGGCATCAGCCTAGGCATGTTTATTTCCATTTGCCTGTGTCAGAATTTTCAAGTCTCAGGTGCAAGAACAGAAAAAGAGTCTGCTCAAAGTCTGTTTAATACGTCTTATTGAGAGGGAACAGTTTTGAAGAGGAAGGCAGTCTGAGCAAATTGTAGAAGGTCAGGAAACAGTGAGGTCTACCTTGCCAGCTGACAGGTCTATCCAACCATAACCTAAAAGGAATCCATTGTCATCTCAAGTCTGCACATGACAGATCCTTGGAGGGGGATACTAAAATAAATAGGAATTACTAGTACATTTGAAAAGCACGATCTCTGCATGGATCAGGAAACTGCATAGCATCCTTCAGTCTCTTCATTTGGAGAAAACTCTGATCCACAGAAGCTTCTTTAAAGGAAAGAAAAAGCGTATCTCATAACCCCCCATTCCCTTTTAGCTTAACTTGCTCCAGGTGTTTGGAGAACCTCCTGTTCACTGATGCATCTCCTGGGGACAAAAAGTCTGTAAATGGAAGGCTCTTTTTACCCTATTTGCATGTGATGAAATAAACCTACCTATGATTTTCCCACAAGATTATGCAATCAGACCTGTTTTCTCCTACACCTGTATAAAGAAAATTGTTATTTGAATTGCTCTTAATGTTCCCAACTTACTGTAGACAGAATTAAAAATGGAGGAATTGTAGGGGGAAAGGTATGCTTCATAGTGTCTGCTTATGTCTTGAAAGAGAAGAAATTGGGTAACAGTTTCTGTGTAATATCCTATGTAAAAGGTATGCAGCCTCTTTATAGTTGGGGAAAAAATCATAGCTGAGCCCTTTCGACTGCCTAAGCAATTTAGAACTTGAAAATCTAGTGTGATCATCAATTGGCTGTGATTATAGGGGTAGTGAGATGTTATTTGAATATTTTATTATAATGTTTCATTGAGTTTTATTTATGCAAAATGGTTAACTTCCAGATTATTACAAAAAAAAATTTTTTTTAATGGTTCTGAGTGCAGTTTCAATCAGCAATCTGTTAGGAAATTGTCATAATGGAGCTCCAATGAAATTATTGGATGAACAGGGAAAAAAAATGTTGATTTGGCTGTTTAGAGTCCAGGAGCCAAAGGTACTTTTCATTGCTATTTTTCTTGTCATGACCAAAGGCACCTCTTGGAGGATGGACTAGAAAAGGGTGCTGGGGCAAAGGTGAAGAGTGACATAATTTCATTGCATTTAGTATAAATAAAGTATGATTAATAAACAGTTCAGAGTCACATCTAAAGCTAACTCTTCAGTTCTACATTTCATGGAGTGGCAAGATAATTCTTTCTGTCTAGAAAAAATTGTCATATTGCATCCATTGTTAAATTGTCAGGATTACAGCCTTCTAGGATTAGCCTAATAGTTAATTTAAATACAATCCAATAATTATCACACCAGACTTGATCCCTCTGAGTATTGTACAGTCATTTAAAATAAACTATTTACTATAGGAAAAAGTTGGGCAAAAAGATCAATTCTGCCTTCTAAAAGCTATTAGTATGGAGAGGCCATTTGTATTTTTAAACCTAATATACATTTTGGAGACAACGATGAAAACTATTTTATCTCTTCTGTGTTTCTTTTGTTTCCATAAGGTTGAAACTGCTGGAAAAAGAGAATTCAGAAATGTCATTTTTGAAAAAATAATACTGTGTTCTATCCCTGCATGATTGCTTTTCTGTGTAACTGTTTCTACTACTGCTTGCTTTGGAAGGTGCATTAATTTGCTGCCCATTTTTATTCTTACTTTGTGACTGGATCCCCAACAGTCTCTCAGGAGGGCAAGCCTTTTGCCAGGCTACATGCTGGTCATTGTTGCTGGCAGGTGGGCTGGATACTGATCTATACTGTGGAATGTCGGCATTCTATCCACATTTGTCTTTGTGTTATTTAAAAAAAATGTAGAATGAAATAAAATCTTGCAGAAGTCAATAAACACTGGCTCATATATCCTGTACTGCCTCAATAAATCTGTTTTGGTGGTGTCTCTATAAGCATGAGTAAGACAGTAAGGCGTGGACTTTATCATAGTCCAGTTTTCTTTTAAAAGGAAAGTTCTGGTGTCAAGACTTCTAGAGTTTGAGGAAAGCTGGTCTCAACCATTGTGATTGGATTGATAGGTAGTTTATTCTTTCTTTCTAAATGTATAGGCCAGCTACTCCCTTAACAGCTCTAGGCAACTTACAAGTGACAATAAACATCCAGGTTTACTGAATCCCTTGTGCAGCGACCGTTTGAAGTTACAACAGTGCTGAAAAAATAACTTTTCAACCAAGGTGCGCATTTATGACCTTCACATTGTCCTTCCGTCACGTGATCACCATTACAGTCAGTACATGTGTGCCTGACCTGTCCCCTCCGCAAAGGGCAGAGAGATTGGAGAGGAAGGGATTACAAGAGAGTAAAACACACAATGGGGAATACACCAGCTGTTTGCCTAATGTGCTCGCAGTTGCCAGCCCCAAGCGCACACAGCTGCCAGTGCCAGTGTGTTTCTGTCAATGTGTATTCCTCATCGTGTGCCTGCTTACTCTGGTAATCCCTTCCTCTCCAATGGATGTAGATACAAACATCAATGCCATTCTTGCAGATTATCCCAGTGCTGGGGTGAGCATTCCAAAATGGGGGAAAAGGAAAGTTGAGGTAAAAACAAGCACAGTCACAGTCACATGATTTCCCATTTAGTGATCACTTCACTTAGTGACTGAGTTGCCAGTCCCAATTGTGGTTGCTAAACAAGGACTACCTGTACTCATAGAAACATCATTAGATGATAAGTGATGTGCTAAATCAAAAGTAGTAAGGTTAAAAGGTCTGGGAAAATGAATGTTTTGAGACCCCTCTTAAACTGCAGTAAAGAAGGGAACTTGCTCAACTCCAGTGGCAAAAGTACCACAGAGATAATGGTTTTGGTGGTTAATATCCAATACATCCATGGCAGGGCATGTAAAAAGTGTTCCATTAATGACCTAAAAGGTGGGATGGACTGTATGGGGTAGATGGTGCTGTAAATAGTTGAGCCTAAGCCTTAGTAGAATTTTAAATCAATTACTAATGAGAAAAAAAGCAAATTTAAAGAGTGAAAAGGGAGAACTGATGTAGTTCAGAGCTACATCAGGTGATACTGGTGCTATAAGAAGAAAGGGTATGGTATGGGTTATGAGAGCAAAGGATAACAATCGAGAGATGCAAAAGTTCTGAGTAGAGGGGAGAACTTGAAATGTACAGGGAGACCTCTGAGAAAGAAACATTTAATGAGAAGTGCAGAAGAGAACAGAGATGGGACTCCACAGGTGCAAGATATTTGGGGTTGAAGGGGAAAACAAGATGAGGTGGATATAGGAAGAAAGGATTATAAGAATGTAGAGAAGAAAGTCTGCTGTGGGATTCAAGGAGAAAAGAAAGTACTATGGAGTACAGAGAAAAAAAAAGCATTTACAGGGAAGGGAAATCAGAGGGAAGCAGTGGCTGATAGAAAAAATAATCACCCAAAGGGGAAAGAATGATTGAAAAATGAGTTAAAGAAAACACAGAAAGAACACAGAGCGACTTTTCCATTTTACTAGCCACTTTATTGAGATTGCTTAATGGGGATTTTGACAGTTTATTTTATTTATAATATTTATATGCCATATTTTCATAGTTTACCAATCCCAAAATAGGGGTCTGTCAACCCACTTGGAGAGTGCCTGGTTGGGTAAAAAAGATGTAAACGCACAGCATTTTGATGGATGTGGTTATAGTGTCCCCTGACTGACGAGCTGTGCACTCCTGGAGAATGTTTTCTATTTCTCACTGGTTAAAAACACTCTGTGAAAGAAGACAGAATAATGCTTCTCTTAGAGCAGAACAGAAGCTACAGACTATAAGAAATATTACAGCAACTAAACTAAAAGATCTCAATACAGCAATTCTCTCACGCTGACAACTCTAGTTAATGCCAACATCTTATTTGGTTCCTCTGCTGGATTCCCACAGAGGTAAATCCTCCCAAATACAGCTATGAGATAAGAGACTTTGGTCCTTGATCCTAGCCAAGGGGTTTTACACAGTAGAGTCTGATTTCTCTGGAGGAAAATGAGAAATGAGAGAGTGACTAGTTTATCTTGGAGCTGTTGCATCCAAAGAAATTTATGTGCAGATTGTGATTAAGGAAGAGGACCATCAACCCATGGAGGGGATTAGCTCAGGCTGAAGAAGCAGGACAATGATTGCTGCTATAATGCTCTTTCTGGTGCAAGTTTTGCACAAGTCTTCAGCTCTGGAAGTTCTCCATGGTTTCAATAACGTTAGCATAAATAATATACAGAAAATCAAACATACAATGCACTGAAAACAGATCATACAATGCTCTGAAGCTACATCTGTAATCCAACTATGGTTATTAATTTGCTGTTCCTGAATGCATAGCAAAGCATTTTTCCAACTACTCAATAATGCATCATATTGGTAGCATCTTAAGATAGAGGATGTGTAAAGTAGGAAAGAGAGATCAGAATAAACATGATCTATTCACAAGTATTTGCATCAATGGCCACTGTAGGAGTTTATGGAAAGTCAAGAATCCTCTAGTAGTGTTTTCATTCCAAAAGAAATAGAATTTTCAACAGCATATCATGTTTCTTCCCTTTTCCAGTATTCTTCCAATGATTTTTTTCTGATATGTTTATGTCTCCTAGTTGTGTTTCTAAGATGGCACACAAAAATGGAAGGACACTCAAGTATTTAATTATGGTTGAAAACTAACTCCAGCTGACCTAGATAGCAAACTAGGACTCCATTTATTTATAATGAATTAAAATCACAATTTAAAAAACTAATTCAGGAGTAGACTTTAGGATGCATTTGCAAGCATGCTCACCCTTTGAAGCATAACCTAACTTGTCTTCCAGGTCAACAGATCTTAGGAAAAATACATCAGAGTGTTTCACACCAGACATCCTTGTAGATCTGGATTCTTAAGTAGATGTTTCTGGCACGCTTTGGAATTTTGTAATGTTGTAGACACTCTCATAATGACTGCTATGAGAAAATCTTGCCCATTCACAAAATGAATGGCACAGGGCAACCATCATTTTATTTGAAGGCAAACTGGTGAGGGTGCTCCTTGCCACACTCTTTAGTTCTTTCCTTACTATTCCTCAGTTTACTTTTGCCTTTTATCTATCTGAGCAACAACACACTGGACTTGAGCACCTCTCAAGCAATGGGCCTA